TATATATATTATCAAGAGCTAATAAATACTAGGGTTGTAATTTCGTAATCGATCATCGGTTGGACCCAAGTAACCGTTGATCGGTTACAATCGGTTACTCGGGGTGTTGAATGCCTGCGTGTGCATAACGTCATGTGCTTGTACGTGTGTGCATGTATGTGCTTGTTTAGCCAGAGTATAAAATCCCTAGTGTGTCCTAGGCTTTAGCCCCTCAACAGGAAGTATCTGCGGCAAATGTTGAGTGATTCCCGAACTAAAATAGCGATGATATCTCTGATTCTCATCAGTTTTCCAAGTTTTCTTGTTCAAGTTTTACTTTAAGTTTTTTTTTTCTTTTTTTTCCGATGAAATCGGTTATGGATTTTGATAACCAAGCGCTTGGTTCGAGCCACTGTTCAATCGATGATCGAGTATAATCGATGATCGTGACATCACTAATAAATACCTATAAATAATAAGGTATTTATCAACTCCTGATATTATGAATACGTACGTAGGTGTATGGTGAAGGCGCCCCACTGCGTTGAGCTGGCGTGAAAGTTTCCGTTCTCTACGTGCAGATACCGGGTGCTCACCGTCTGTGAGCGAAGTCTGTTGAACAGCGCCACCTTTGTTCCCGACGCGATGCACACTGCGAAAGAAACAAGAGAACGCTCGTTATCACCGTCACCTTCGTTCCCAACGCGATGCACACTGCGAAAAAAACAATAGAACGTTCGTCAGCGCGGCAGCACCACCTTTGTTCCCGACGCGATGCACACTACGAGAGAAACAAGAGAACACTCATTAGTGGTGACCGAGAAAATGCACACTGCGAGAAACAATAGAACGCATTTCAGCATGGTGGCGCCACGTGTCATTCGTCGCGACGACGGGCGCGGAAACCCTCCGAACGAGAAATACGTTTTTTTTTCTCGCGCTAAACACGTGTTTTCGTTTAGGTTCATTTTCAAAACTATTTTTCTCGATTCCGTTTCCGAAAAACTTGGTAATAAGAGGATGGCAGAAATAACAGGATGGCGTGCTGAGGCGTTTCGCACTCTTAGTTCGACAGACCACGCCCGCCCGGTCGCTGGAAGATGAAATCAATAGGAATTCTTCGCGGTAAAATCTGCGCCGATGGGGAAAAACGCGGTAAGAGAGCAGACACGACTTCCGATGGCTGGTAATTGGGGGTCGGGGGAGGGGAGTAGAATTCCTCACGTTATTTTGTGGGCAAAGATGTTATAGATATATATCAGGAGTTAATGAAGACAAATTTGTCTTCATTAAACTGCCGTATATATTAATATATTAAGAAAAATTTAAAAATAGAAATGAGGTGTCTAAATTTTATAGGTGTCAAATTTTTTAATTTATCTTATCTCTGTGTAATCGCCGTGTGTTTTATATTTACTATATAATATATATATATATAATATAATATAATACATATAACCACCATGTATGGATTTACCCTTAGGCAATAGAAAACGTTAAAAAACAGAAGGGATGGTGCGTTAGTCAATACATGTATAGTTCAAAGTCTACAGAGTAGAAGGTTTCATGGCGCATACATGGATGTTCATCAAGAGTAGATAAATAACTTGATGTTATGTTATCAGCCACTCAACATTTATATCAATAGATAGTAGAATACTGCTCCCTTTCCCCTGGGTTCGTTAGCGCCTAAAAAAAGATGTTTGTATCCGCTAACAATGCTGAAAAAAAAATTGACACCTAGGCAGGCAAACTTTTTTTTTCATATTTTTTGTTTGTTATTCTAACAATACTTGTTTTTACGTATAACAGCCCATATAATGACTTCAAAGTCAAATCAATGCATTTACCATCGAATATCACGTTGGGAATTTTGTTATATTTTTTAAAAATATGTTTTTCTAAATATTTTTTTTGCCGATCACAATAAAAAAGTTTCGACGGACGGCGGTTTTAAAATAGAACTCGGCCGGGTTAGCGCGGAACAAACGTCTTTTTTTGAGGCCTTTACAGACTTCCTGCAGGCAAGTAACCTCCTCCCCTCCCCCTCCCTCCGTCCCACCGTCCTTTCCTCGTCGCCGTACTCACGTTCTGCATTCGTTTAGCCGCTGTTTCTTCTGCGCGGTTTGGAGATGAACTTTATGCGGCTTGCTGTGGAATACTCCTATGTACCTGCGACCACTGCCGTTAGAAATCCTTCACGGCTAGAGCATGAAGTGCTGGCCGCTTTTGTCCGAGTGCCGATATATACAAAGTCTTGCGCCGCCGCGATAGTTCTACACAGAAAAACAATATTGTGGTACGCTTTGGATTAAACAACAAGAACAACAGCCAACGACGACGTACAAAATATGTACAACGTCTGTGGCAACTGCGTAGTTCTGCGGAAGTATATTGTGTTTACTTTATGCATTGTAAACAACAACAACAACAACAACCAACAACATACAGCAATAACAACGAGAAGAAGATATGGCTTACAAATGTCTTTAGAACATGGTATAGAACTACACAGATAGTTCTGTGTAAAAGAGCATTGTTTTGCAAATAATTGGACAAGATGATGTACAATGTCTTGGCCACACAAGATGATTTGTGCTTACATACGTCTTAGACACTGTAACTTTTAAGATATGTACAATGTCTTGAAACATGAGACCTTGTGCTATAGGCCTGAGCTGTGCATGTCTTGCTCCTCCCTCGCTTTCTCCTCTCTCCTCTCTCCTTCCTGCCGCCTACCCTTCTCCTCCTCTTCCGCTTCACCGCCTCCTCATCTCCCCCTCCTTCTCCTCCCCTCCTTCTCCTTCCTCCCTCACCTTGTTTCATCTCAGGGCTGACCCGGCTGCCCTGCATGTCTTGTTCTCTCTCCTCTCCTCCGCTCCTCCTCTCCTCCCCCCTCCTTTCCTCTCTCCGCCCTCCTCCCCTCCTCTCCCTCCCCCCCCCCTTCTCCCTCTTCACCTTGGTCTCTAGGCTGAGTTGCTGCAATAGTCTTGCTCCGAGTGCCGATGCCCTGAACGCGCAAACTGTGTACTAGGGTCGGCGTCGCCAACCCACCTCCATGCTGTATTCGCCGGCTTCCGCCGCCAGCGCACCAAACCAGGTATCCATGCAACGGCGGCGGACCAGAAGAACCTGTGAGAGAGAAAGAGAAGCCATGATTGTGTCTTTAACGAGAGAGACAGAGAGAGAGAGATTGATGAGAGAGAGAGAAAGAGAGAGAGACGAGGAGGAGAAAGGAGAGAGAAGCGAGAGAAGGAGAGAGAGGAGAGCACGATTTAGAGGAGAGAGAGAGAGAGAGAAGGCGGGGAGGAGAGAGAGAGAGAGGAGAGAAGAAAGAGAGATGAGAAAAGACGCAAAGAAAGAGATGGCGATGCGAGAGAAAGAGAGCGAGAGAGAGAGAGAGAAGAGAAAAGAGAGAAAGAGAGAGATGAGAGGGAAGAGAGAGAGAGGAAGGAGAAGAGAGAGGAGAGAGGAGACGAGAGAGAGAGTAGAGAAGAGAGAGAGAGAGAAGAGGAGCGAGGTGAGAGAGATTCGTTATTCGCACAGCAGCTGCAATGCTATAACAGGGAGGGAGGGTGAGAGGAGGCAAAGCTAGCAACCGCGGGGCAACCGGAACAACAGATCGCCGCTAATATGCGGTCGCTGCAATATTGCCCCTCTGAACGAACGTGCCACAGCTGTAGCACGCGATCGAGGCTTCGAGGCAGCTATGTAAGGAAGAGGGGCTAGGAAGAGAGGTGGAGAGAGAGTAGGAGGAGAGATGAGGAGAGATTCAAGTGTTATTGTAAACGTGCAGCGCTAGTAAAGGGGGCAGGCGCCTTAACAGGTAATATGCGAGTGTAAGTAATTGCCTTAACGAGGTGCACTATGTAGCACGCGATCGAGGGCAGGCTAGTAAGAGAGAGAGAGCAGAGGAGAGAGGAGGAGAGAGAGAGAGGAGACCAGAGAGAGGAGAAGAGAGAGAAAGAAAGAGAAGAGAGAGCAGGAGAGAGCAGGGCGAGAGAGAGAGATGAGAGAGAGCGACGGAGAGAGAGAAGAGACGAGAGAGAGGAGCAGAGGAGAGAGAGAGAGAGAGAGATGATAGAGAGGATGATCGAGAGCGATGGCCCGGAGAGAGGGAGAGAGAGAGAGAGAGAGAGGAGCGAGGAGGGAACGAGGAGAGAGAGACATGGGGTGACGAAGGGTCTGCCACATCCCCAGCTGCCTCGGCCTGGATCTTCCTCTCCCCGGTTCGCGGCGTGCAGAAGTAGTGAGAGGAGAGAAGATGAGAGAGAGAGGAAGAGAGAGAGAGAGAGAGATGGGGAGGGATCTGAATTCAGCAGCAGCGAATAACAACAAACGCGAGCAGCAGCAGCAGCGCAGCAGCCAGCACCACCACCACCGGACCACACAGCAAGCAGCAGCAGCCAGCAGCTGCGCAGCAGCAGCAGGCAGCGCAGCAGCAGCAGCAAACAGCCAGCCAGCAGACACCACCACCACAACCACCACCAGCAGCAAGCAGCAGCAGCACTGAGCAAAGCACTACTACGTACTAATATCTACTACTACTACTACTACTACTATTAATAAAATTAAAAATATAAAAAAAAAATAAATAAATAAATAAAATAAATAATAATAAAAACAATAACGCGCGTTGTTCCGGCGTTGCCGCGGCGACTCACCGCTTCTCGTTGCCGTACGACTTCTGCGCGACCTTGGCGTGTAGGATGACGAGAACCTGGTCGCCCCGATCCTTCAAGTATCTCTTCATCGCCTCCCTGCAGCCAAAAAACCCCACTCATGAACACGTGACGTCACGGAAATCGTCGACAACTACACATAAACATGTGACGTCACAGCAATAGATGAGAATCGCGTACGGAAACATGTGACGTCATAGAAATAGATGAGAATCGCGTACGGAAACATGTGACGTCATAGAAATGGATGAGAACAGTGAAAAAATCAGTAACACTGAAACAGAGGAAAACGACGAAAAATCACGTGAAATCACGGAAATAGATTAGCACCACATGTGTAAATTCAGTGCCATCGCAGCAATAGAGAAAAACTACCCAAAAATGTTCGCGCAAAAATATCGAGTCTGAATCACTTTGTCACTGAGCAATGTTTCTTAAACCTCCTCTTACATCGCTTATTGGCTAGACGTTCTATTACACATATAAAAACCAGGGTACGAAATTAACGCGAGTCCGGAGTCAAATACTCCCTGATTTGCTGTCGGACTCCCTGATTTGACATTTGCAGGAGTCCGTGTGACTCCCTGAAAATTCTGCTAATCTAACTAGTTCGTTCCAGAACACGGCCTCGCGGAATAACCGTATTTCTTTTAGCAAATGTCCAAAGAAAATTTGGCAGACGTGCACCGCAAATCTCCTTTTTGTTAATATCTTTAGTTTTGAACTTCAGACTGCGGACTCCCTCTTTGTTTGAGGGTATAGGGAGTCCGTTGGACTCGCTTGTTCAAAAGTTCATTTCTACCCATGAAAAACTATATATATATATATATATTGAGGGTGTAACGATTAACTGCGATTCAACTGTATCGCGGGTACATCCCGTTCGGTTCGGTTTTCGTTTTTTTTCCGTTTCGGTTCTCGGTTCGGTTCCGCGAAATACATTCAACCCACTCTCACTTAGGCGGGGCGCACACGGCGAGCAAACAGCTCAGCACTTACGCCAAGCCCCGTCCCTCGCACTTTTCTCATCGTGTGCGGGGTGACAGACAATGCGTGACATTTTGGTCATTCGTGCCGCTGAGAAAAATATCCAACGTGTTTGATATCGTGAGCTATATCCTTGAACTGTACTCCTTTATTGTCTTTTGGCCAATGAATAACACAATAAACGTATAATATTATGATAGGTATTATTATTATTATTCAAAATGGAGGGAAAATTTCCCCATCTTCTCAGCATTTTTAATTTTTTACTACTGAAAATAACTGAACAGAATGAACCAAACCGAAGAGCAAAAACCGAAAACCGAACCGAAACAAAATGTATCGTTACAGCCCTAATATATATATATATATATATATAACGTGCAGTGCAGTAACGATGCTTACCTCGTTAACCGCTGCTCCTTCCTCCTGAAACGAAACGAAACGGGAGTAGCGATTAATTTGCGTGAGGGAGAGAATGTAGATGAACTCCAAAATCCCCCCCGACTCACGACACGACCCCAATTTGACCCCTACGTGACCCTCGCACGACACCCTGTGTGACCCCCCCACGCAACCCCCCATTTAACCCAGACATGACACCCCCTCCCACACACGCGCACGCATGCACGCACGAACGCACGTACACAGCAACACACAGCGTACACACACACACACACACACACACACACACACACACACACGTACACACACACACGTACACACACGACACAATGACCTCTACACGACCCCCCTGCCCGTGACACCCCCACTCACCCGAACGGGACCCCTGCATGACCCCCGCACACACTCACCCTGTGTGAGCGGCGGATCCCGGCTGCCCAACCTCTCTACTAGACATAACGACACCTTCCCACGCTCTTATATCGTGCAACGCTCCACATCCCACCCACACGCTCACTCACCGCCCCACGTGTCTCGGTATAAGCGGGCGACGGCGTCGTATTACGCCGACTCGGCCGAGTCGTCTGTTTATCGTCGTCGCGTTGCGCCGCCGCCGCCGGGCGGCGCCTACCCGTCGGTTGCTGCCGAGCGTAGGCTCGCCCGCTCGCCATTGCGAGGACCATGTGGCTTCTCGCTGTCGACCTGTCCCGCCGGGCGTGAGCGGGATCAGTGGTCGCACCTAAGAATCTCCGTCGATTCCTGGTAATACGGACCAGAGAGAGAGGGGAGGCAGCAGCATCCGAGACGAGAGACCGTAGGGTGAGTGAAGGGACGAGAGATGGAGCAGCGAGACAACGAAGACGAGAGAAGCAGCGGATGAGAAACCTCTCCTCCAGCTCGCATCGCCTGGACGAGGATAGATCTGGTGAGAAAAGAGAGAGGCTGAGAGGAGATGAGGACAGACCGCTGATCTCTACCCCGTATCTCTCCCTCTCCTCGCCTCTCGACTGCCCTCCCTCGCCTCTTCCCGACCTTCCTCTGCCGCTGCCGCACCTCCCCTCACCGAGAGAACCGCACCTCCCTCCTAGACGAAGACACCCCTGCTCCACGAGGAGGAGGAGGGAGGAGGAGAGAAAAAGAGGGGAGAGACGGGAGAGCGAGAGAAGAGGAGAGAGAGAGAAGAGAGAGAGGGACCGAGGAGACGCTGCGATCTCCCGTTCTTGAAGTCATGCTCCCTCTTGATTCTCCTCTCTCCTCTTTCTCTCCCTCTCTCCCTCTCTCCCTCTCTTCCCTCTCTCCCTCTTCCCTCTCTCCCTCTCTCCCCTCTCTCCCTCTCTCCCTCTCTCTCCCTCTCCCCTCCCTTCCCTCTCCTCCTCCGAGCCCTCGCCTCCCTCGGCCTACCCCTCCTCGATCCGGACGGCGACGGCCCTCTCAGCCTCTCTCCCTCTCTCATCCTTTCTCTCAGGACCTCCCTCCCTCCTCCTCCCTCCCTCCATCCCCCCTCTCTCTCTTCTCTCTCTCTCTCTCTCTCGCTCTCTCTCTCGCTCTCGTCTCTGCTTTCACCTTTTCTCACTATCTCCCCTCAGTCTCCCTAACGCTTCACGGACTCAGTGTTGTTTACAGTCACTATCCCGGGTGCGCAACGTCACGCCCAGGCGGCGCTAGTACTAAGAGCCTTAGTTCTGTATGGCTTGTTATTGTCACACACAGCGTTCTCAATGTTATAGCAAGGGGAAGAGGGAGAGGGTGAGAAGGAGCGCGGGAAGGTGAGAGGGGGAAGGAGACAGTGTAGTAAACAAGTTTCATGCATCACGGCGCTGAAGGAATTGCTGAGCCACACTTGGCGCTGAGAGCATGGTCATCAACGCACTCAGATTAGATACTGCCAGTCCAAAGCGCCACGCGTAGCTGGCTGTTCAGCTCGTTACCCTTGCCAACCCTCCATAGCTGCCCCTGACACCCCCCATGACGCTGCCCCCCTGACACCCTCATAGCTGGCCCCCTGACACCCATAGCTGCCGCCTGACACCCCCATAGCTGCCCCTGACACCCTTGCATAGCTGCGCCCTGCACACCCATAGACTGCCCCTGACACCCTCATAGCCAATGGCCCCCTGACACCCCCAGTTAGCTGCGCCTGACACACCCATAGCCTGCCCCGCCTGACACACCCAAGCTGCCCCGACCACCTCCATAGCTGGCCCCTGCCACCACCCAGTAGATGCTCATGACACCCCATAGCTTGCCACCTGCACACCCATAGCTGCCCTTTGCCACCCCCATAGTCTGCCCCGTGACAACCCCCATAGCTGCCCCTGACACCCCCATAGTGCCACTGCACACATTCCATAGCTGCCCCTTTACACCATCATAGCTGCCCCTGACACCCATAGCTGCCCCTGCCACACCCATTAGCTGCCCTGACACCCTCATAGCTGCCGACCTGGACACCCCCATAGGCGTGGCCTGCACACCCAATAGGCTGCCCAACTGACACGGCCCCATAGCTGCCCCTGACACACCCATTACAGCTGGCCGCCTGACACCCCTCATAGGCTGCCCCTGACACCCTCATACCTGACCTGACACCCGCATACTGCCTGCTGAACCCATACCCCCATCTAGCACAGGGCGTTACCTAGACCCTTACGCCCAGCGACAAGCTGAGCCCAGCCCAGCAATCACCACCACCACAGCACAGTAGCAAACGAGCACCGAGTAGCAGAGGGAGCTCGCAGAGTGCGCTACCGTCGTTGCCAGGGCTTGTCTTGGTCAGCGGGAAATCGACGAAGATGGAGGTATTATCATTTAGCATCTTCTCGCGTGCCGCGCAGGGGGAAGGAGGCGAGGAAGGAGGCAGTGAACAAGGTGGAGGGAAGGAAAAAAGGCGGAATGGAGGGCAAGGAGGGTAGGAGAGAGCGAGACAGGAGGGGATGAAAAGACTGCAGGAGAAGGGATGGGAGAGAAAAGAGAGAGAGAAGGAGGGAGAGAAGGGAGGTAGATATCTGTGTATCAGCGTCATGATTAGACTGGAGATTGTATCATCAGGCAACGACTGTCAGCGTGTTAATGTTCATTCTACAAGGATATGACCGCAAGCACACATACTCCTCACTGCTCCCCCACCCCTCCCGCCTCCGACACGCCCCCCTCTCTCTCTCGCTCTCGCTCTTCTCTCTACCTCTCCCCCCTCCCCTCCTCTCTCTCTCTCTATCTCTCTCTCTCTCTCTATCTCTCGCTCTCTCTCTTACTCTCTCGCTCTCTTTCTCTCTACTCTCACTGCCCCCTTCTCTCTCGCTCTGTCAAGATCTTCCTCAGTTCCAACCATTTATCACGCTTTTATCTCACCACCTAACCCTCCTCCAGCATCCTCCGCAAGGCCTGTCTCTTCCCTATCAGTCCCCCGCCACAGCTACGTACTATACTATGCTATATAATGAGCGCACCCGCTACAGCCAAGGCCTAAGATAAAACATTGCTTGTTTTCCCTTTTACCGACCGACTCGCCATAACGCAGCTACTCGACACATTTTATTGGCCGATTAAAACAAAACAAGAATTATGTTATTTCGCACACAAAAAATCAAAAACATATACACAAAACAGAATATACAATATAGTAATATACATACACACATCTTGTCAAAAGAAAATAAAAAAGATTTTTCACCTA